TGAAATTAAATGATTTGAATAAATTAAATAACTAAACTAGTTAAAGAAAAACTAAATTAACTTTGAGTAACACCAAGAATTAAAAGTCTAAGGCATCCGACTTCACCATCAACTAATATAGAATTTAGATCAATATACTTCCAAGGTACTTATTATTCATGTGACAGCATGTTTCCTATTTTATTCGATATACTTTCTCAAGTTATACCAAACCTATCTTCACCTATTAACCCACTATATCTCTATGTGAATTTAAATAGATAAAGATGCATTATGTTCTATGAAATTCCCTAGTTTACATAGAAAATTAAGTCCACTTATCACTAATGCTACACAAATCACGTTGGTCCATCTCTGGCTTTCGTTCAATTCATGGTATATATTACTAAAAGCTATTGCATAAAATCTCCTCGCGGTCTCAATTATACTCTTCAAATCAGTTTTAATGGTGGCCAATCATTAAAAAGCATTAAGAACAATAACATATACTCTATATGAAATAATAATCCTTGAAAGTATAAAAATCATGAAATTCTATATTAAATTGATTAGGCTACATCGTAGCCTTAGATGGAAAAATTAGTTCATACTAAACATGATAAAATCTGAGATTAAATTGATGAACCACAATTCCATATCCAAACAAAGGAAAAAATAAGTTTAGAAGAGCAAAAACCCAATTTGTGGAACTCAGATCTGTAGCCTTCACTGTCGCGCTTGTCCCCTTTGTTTTCGATTGAAGTGTCCCCAATGGCTGCCTTTGCTTCTGTCGTCACTCGCACAGAATCCGCACAAGCTCTGCCTCAAACTCGCCTTCCAAGCTCTCTGTCGGCTGCCTCTAAAATCCCCTCTCGGAAGTCTTCTCCTCATCCGCCTCCAAAAATCCCCTTTTTATATCAAACCCCCCTGCGAAAACTGCGTGCCCTTCTTTTTTAAAGTCCATCTTATCTCCACAATGAGATAAAGCCCACAATGTTGTGTCACGTGTATGCAGGAAGAAAATTCAATTCTGGTCTTTGAATGGGGAAATCATGGAATCAGACTTGATGTTTTCAACTTTTGTCACTTCA